TTAAGTGTATCAAAAGCAATTTGACAATCTCTGGTCCATTTAAAAGGAGTATCTTTTGTTAATAACCTGTTTAAAGGTAGTGCAATTTTTGAATACCCTTTTACAAATTTCCGATAATAATTTGCCAATCCCAGAAAACTGCGGATATCATGCTGATTTTGTGGTAATGGAAATGATTGAACCGCGTCAACTTTTGAAGGGTCAACTTTTATTCCTTCTGTAGATATTATATGACCTAGATATGTGACCTCTGGTTTTGCAAATGAACACTTTTTTGGTTTTAAAGTCAAGTTTGCTTGTCGTAAACGATCAAAGACCAAATCAAGATGCTTCAAATGATTTTCAAAAGTATCTGACCATACAATGATGTCATCGATGTAAACCAAACAATGTTTCCACGTAAGACCTTTTAGAACCATATTCATGAGCATTTGAAAAGTTGCTGGGGCATTGACAAGACCAAAAGGCATTCTATTGAATTGATATAAATTATCATGCGTAATGAACGCAGTTTTATGTTTTGTTTTTTCATCAAGTGCGACTTGCCAATAACCAGAAGCCAAATCCAAAGTAGAAAATATGTTTGCTTTGTTTTGTCCAATTGCATCAAAAACATCTTCTAGCCGCACTGTCGGAAATGTTTGAACAGGGGTCACTGCGTTTAATTTTCGATAATCTATTGCAAATCTGTATTCATTGTTAGGCTTTTTGACTAAAACCACTGGTGACGCGTATGAAGAAGTACTCTCTTCAATTATGTCATATTTGAGCATTTCATTTATTTGTTTTTCAATTTCTTTCTTAGCTTTTGGAGACGTACGATATGGTTGTGATTTGATTGGTTTATTATCTTGAGTGATAATTGAATGACGAAAAACATTACCCTTGCCCAATTCTGATAAATTGTTTGCAAAGACATCACTGTTTTTGTTTATAAATATTTGAAATTTTTTTTTTCTTTCTGAGATAGAATGGAAGATGATAAATCCAGAGGGACCACTTTTTCTTTTGAGGTTACTTCCGCATTTTGTTTTTCCATAGAAAATATATTTGCGTTATCAATGGTGTTTACTGATGCTAAGACTCTTCCAGCCGGAAGTTTTATTTGCTCATTAGCTGTATTTGTGACCTGCATAAACACTTGTTTAGGTTTATTTATAACCAGACACTTTGCAATCGCGAGGCTTGTTTGTTTACTAGCGTTTGGTTCGAGTAACACAGTGGCCTTATTCTTAGTACGCGATAATTTGACCGGAATGTTTATCATAGAGTCTGGGGGAATGGTCATTGACCTGACAGTTCTAGCCAACCCCGTCTTGAAATTGATAACATTGATGTGAGTTGAAAATTCTTGTAAATACAAAGTTCTTGAGCCCCAATCTAAACATGCTTTTTGTTGTTTCATGAAGTCAGTTCCCAGAATGACTGGATGGCATAAAGCTTCAATAATATGGAAAGTGTGTTTTAAACTGAGACCTCCAATTTTGATTTGTAAGTCAATTTTCCCATTAACCGGATGTGATGTTCCCCCTGCCCCGGTTATATTGGAAATTTCCGAAACTTTTATTTGCTTTCTTGAGTTCTCAACTTATTCAAAACTTGTTGATTGATAGCTGAAATAGAAGAACCCGTATCTAAAAGAGCATTGAATTTGGAATGCTGAAAGGAAATAGGTATATAACATTTATCTGCAAAACTGACCAATGCCTCAACAGATTCACTATTATGCCTGTCTCTAGCAGAAAAATTATTTCTTTTCCCTGTTTGTTGGCTTTTCCAATTGCTGGAGACAGGCGCGAATCCCTATTGTCGGGGTTTGCGCGTCTGTCTACAAGCCCTTGAAAAATGCCCAATTCTCTGACAATTGTGACACAGAACATTTCTTGCCGGACATCTGTTTCTGTCAGGGCACGTTCCCAAACAAAAGTAACATGTGGGAACATTCATGCGTTGCTGGAATGCATTAGTAGAATAGTTAGTAGGTCTACTTTGCATGTTAGTAACCATATTGCGTCTTGGGGCCCGATATCTTTGTGGTGGTTGAGCTGGTGGTGCATATTGTCTATTGTACCGAGTGCGTTGTTGCATTGGAGTGTAATATTGTGGCCTCGGTGAAAGTGTAGGCACGAATTGTTGTTGTTGTGCATACTGTGGTGGGGGGAAAAATTGCTGTGGGAAATTTTGACTGACAGCATTGATCTCTGGTTTTAAAATTAGATTTTTCATATCTTTGACTTCTGACAATAAATTTTCGTAAGCTTCCAAAGTATTTATTTGAGATGGTTGAGATTTCTCTGCCAACAAGGCAATTTGCCTTAATCTTTCCATTGTTTTGGGGTTTTGTGTAACAACAAAAGTTTTAAGCTCATTTCTTAACCCGTTCATAGCCACAGACAATAAAACATTTTCTGGTACGTTTTTGATAGATGCTGTTTTGACTATTCTCGTTAAATAGTCGCTTACTGACTCTGTAACATTTTGTTTCATTTGCAATACAGACAAATCCAAAAAATTGTCTAACTCTTTAAATCTTTCCTGAAACAGTGTTTGAATTGTATCAGTATTTGCTTTTTGCTGAAACGGTAAAGAGTCATACCACACTTTTGCATGCCCCTCTAAGTAAAATGGGAATGCATCAACAATTTTGTGATCTGGCAAGTCATGAAATTTTGCCCATTGAAAAAAATTAGTCAACCATGCAACGACATTTTGTGTACCATCACCCTTAAATTTCTCTAACTTAATGGTGGAAGACATTTTAGAAAAATGTGGTGTCCTACCTGAAGTCTTAACGTTAGAATAAAACTTAAATCTGTCCTCGTCCAAACTCTGTTCGTTCCTTGGATGGCCTAGGAGATTGTAGAATGAGAGTCTTTGTTCCTCCCAGGAAGAGTCGTCTCTGCGTGTCGGATGTCCCTGTTCCGGCACAGAACTATTATTATTATTATGCGAAATATTGAAAAGTCCGTCTCTTTGGCTACTAGACGATGGGACAGTAGTTGTAGGGAATGTTCGATTGGCACGAGAGTTTTTACTTTGTGTCGTCTGCTGCAGTGGGTTTGTGGTCGAAACTGGTATTTCAAAGTTTGTTGGTCCTGCCCAGGGTGTACCGGGTCTCTTACGAAAAATGGCCTCGTCGTTCGTCTGACGGCTCTGGTCCTGCGTCAAGGGTTCTTGAGGGTTCGTCTGGTCCTCGTCTTGGTGGTGATAGAGTTCTCTGTCCCAATTACCAGTGGGATTGTCGTCTAATCCACGTCTGGGGGGCGACTTGAAGAACTGTCCAAAGTTCCTGTCTGGAAATGTTCCAGCGACACTGTCACTTAGCTGGTTCCAGGTTTCTGGGAACTTATCCAAAAATTTTGGATCCGCTGTTTCAGGGGTCCTTGGATGTCTAACGCTTAAATTTTCGTTAACTAAATGTGGCGGTGTAATATCCGCAATATCTGTAGTTTCAAAATTGTCCTCAAAGAATAAATTAGTTTGTAAATGCTTGTCCGTTTGGTTTTCCTCGTCAGGAGTTAATGCGTTGGTAGTTTCTTTTCTTAGAGCTCCAGAGGAAATGACACTTGGCTGATATGTAATTGGGTTAAACAAAATTTCACTGTCATCCAAATCTGGTTGAACAAATGTTTCAGGGGAAAATGATGACCCAAGTCCAACTATTCGTTGCAAACGCTGTAATGGTGTTTCAGTCTTTGGAACAGGTAAGTTTTCCATAAAGAGGATTCCCACCACTTATCATAACCGGGTCAACCTCATTCCGGACTCCAGCCTAATGGTTCTTATTTTCTGTACCTCAACCACTGAAGTTTGAGGAGGCAGAGTCCCGAATGACATTGGGCCGATCATGCATTTGTTTGTATAACCCGGGATCTTTGGCTATGCAAGTGAGAGGACGCACCAAGTGGAATAACTCTTATAATCTTTGAGCTTGGTCGAAGTGACCCAAGTCAACTTTTTATTTCTGCGAAATGACCCTTGTATATTACGCTTCCAATTTCCCTCTAAATCTGAGGACCTTCCCTCACCAGAGCGGCTCACAGGTGTTAAGGTGTGGCACTGTTACCCAACCTGTATAAAATGCAAGCAGAGACAGACACAATCCAGTTTCTCACTGAATGCGTCTGGCCGTCCGCTCATTTTATACCAGGTGTACCCTTGTAGTTTTACATCTCCATATTTGTACCTCCATCGAAATTTGCCATAATTACTTTAAATTTTAGTTTGTATTTCAGTTACCATTATTCTGTCCTCCAACACTCTTTAGTTTCCTAATGCACTTTAAAAATCATTTTCTATCTTTTGCATAATTTTTAAATATTCTTTGTTGTAGCTAATTTATACTTACAACTGACCTCTGGTCACCTCAATACTATTGGTTGCTCTTTTCTCCTTACCAAATACATCTTTAGATAAACAAGTAACAAAGCGCATTCCAATCTATAATGTATCATTTTCTTGGAACCGTCCAGGTGAAAAGGTCAAACCCTAGTGGCCAGCATCTATGTTTATTTTTTTTTTTTTATCTTCAGAGCTTCGTGTCTGTTATCTCTCTCAGCCGAATAGTGCAAATACATCAAAATATGTTACATTCTTATTTTAATGCAATTTTTGTTATGATATATCACTATATACGGGATAAAAGTGTGTTTTTCCCAATTAGTATTGTTCATTATCTTTATGTAGACCCCTTTTATAATTTTTCTGAATTATTTTTGTTGTCTTTTCTGATAAAGCTTTTGATTGTTACATAATCAAATTTTGCAAGAATTTGTACAGGCTCTCCACTGAATTGATTCTCGAGACAAATATACACGTATTTATTTACGTATGGTAATTAATCTAGAACACTGATAAACATCGCCATAAAATAATTATATGTATAGAGATACTAAAATAAATACACAGAGCTATGAAAGACTTCAGTCTTAATATTATTTTTAACTGATTCAGTTTTATTCATGGTATGCTAAGCAATTAAATAACAAAAACTATTTAGATTACTTCAAAGTATTTAATACATATAAAAAAAAAGTTGCACTGATACAATGCAGAATAAAAAATATATAAACTGATAAAGAATCTCTCTATTAACCGACGATTTTAGAGGTCTTGGAGCCGCATTCCTTACAAGTTCCCGTAACTCTTACTGTGTTCTGTCTTTTCGGGTTATCGGTTTCCGGAATCGTGGGATCCACATCACATTCGGTTTCTTTGTTACATTTCACACAAAACATCTTCATTTTGCTGTGTTTTTGTAGTTGTTCAAAAAATCTAAATTGTAAAAACCGAAAATAATCATATTTGTTTGTTTTTTTTAAAATTAAACCAATAAATTGTTCACAACTTTAATTAAATTGTTATAATATATAAGTGACTCAGGAAAATATTGATAAAATGGGTATGATTTTTTAAAACTCTGATTTCTTTTATCATTATGGAGATGTTAAACTTGTGATATTTCTTATTTTTGAACTTAAAATTAAAAAAAATCTATACCTTAGATTCAGATGGGACACTCTTTCCTGGACCAACAAGGTTCGTGTTGAATATCACCTCAAGTTACAGAGAACTGAAAATATACAGCAGAACGTTGTGAAGTGTCTCCAATTTAACTGTTCTCATAGACGCTTAGTAAATTGCCATGTTTATGTGTCAATTTCAATATAAAATAATTTAAGATGCAGATCAGCTACTGTAAGAATAACGAAAATATCAAGAAAACTAAATTTATGTCACGGCAGTAATATTGGTTATTCATTAATAGTTACTCATTAATAAGTTCATAAAAAAATAATTCAATTCATAATCTTTAGTGAAAATTATTCATTTTTATTGTTATTTTAATATATCCCAGACAAGTACCTAAAACAAGGAATTAATCTTGCTTTCGTTAAATCAGAAAGAGCAGGGATATTCAGGTCGTTGTCTACGCACTTTTAAAATTAGTATCTGCAATTTACACATAGTATTCAAAATATTTGGACGTCGGTGAGCGCCTTGGATTTATTTCGTGGCCTGTTAAATTACGATGTTATAACATATAACGATACCTTATGCACGTAGTATAAAACTTGTAAGATTACGCTCTGACTCAAGCTTTTCACTCGAGGTCCTAATAAAACAACGTATGTCAGTGCCCTGTTACTGCGCAGTTATAAAAATAATTCACATTTTATAGTATCAAAGTTGAAAGGTCACGCTAGTTTTATCTCAAGTTACAACCTTTCTTGTGAGGTGTCATTCGGAGGCAGATAATTGTTTTGCTAGTTTGTTGTGCGGTTTAATTCATTAGCTGAAGTTTTAAAACGTCTCTCTTTTCGTATTATCAATTATTCAAATTTATAATGTAAAGGACATAGCATAGCAAGTACGACATCACCTCAAAAGCTACTTCAAATTGAGGTATTTTTAAAGATTTGATCAGATTAATTGTTAATTAGAAATTAAATTCTATATACCATACTTCAAAATTGTGGAGAATTATTGCCCCCCCCCCCCCCAAAAAAAAAATAAATAAATAAAAAAAATAAAATAAAATAAAAAATAAATAAATAAATAAATAAAAAAAAAAACAGCTAAATGCTGATTCCAATTTACAAATTAAAAATTTGAAAAAAAAAAACCCCGTATTATTAATTTGAAATACAAAATGCCTATTGTACGTATGAACGAAATAAAAAAAATATATTTGTTATAACAAATTACAGTGCGAAATTAACACCCATGAAAATATGACCATTAGAATAACAGAGGTTCCCGAGGAATGGTCTTGGTGAGTTATATACAGTATTTCAAACGCTACTTAGACTATCCGGAAACCATTATCCAATCTGTGAATTTTAAAATGTCATTGACCTTAAAACTTGGAGCATGGAAAATGAACGCAGAAGACAAGCATTTACAGTCCAATATTCAAAACAAATTGCAGAAAAAAAAAACTTATTTGATGTGTCTAACAATTTAAATTTATAAACACGACTCAATAATAAAATTAGTAATTTGAAATACCAGTATTTATATTTTTAAGAAATTTAATAATTTGGAATAAGAAATTAATTATTTGTTTAAAAAAAAAACCAGGAAATGATTCTGGTTTGGCCATATAGAGGCTTAAACAAGAACACTGAAGGGTTAACAGTGTCTACTTAAGCATGAGAGCTTACTCTTTCAATGATATCGATGTATCTTACATCATCTACCTACACGTTTGTTGCATCGTTAATTCTCACACCGAGCGGGAATTAATCGACTTGCTTTACTTAGGCTTTTAACAACTTACAAAATTAATTAAAAGTCATAGTCACACCATACCAGATAACGATTATAAAAGTCAAGCGGATGGCAAAATTTTTATTTCGTTGTATCCGATCGCAAGCGTTTCTCGTCCGTTTCTCATGTTCAATGTCCGGGGAGGTCCAGTGAATTTGTTCTATTCTGCTTGTTCACAACTTACCAGACCTAGGTGTCCGCTTGATATGCGGTAGGTGTACGTTCTAAGCGTTTTTGTACAGAACTCCTTTTCCTGTACTTTTGTGGTCTGCTTTCGTTTAAGTCCTTTCGATTTAAGACATAGCCGGACAACGATCAGTCGTAGAACGGATAAACAGTCCTAAAGAGACCTAGATACCGGTCGCATAACTATCAGCCTAAAGTTCGAAAATTATTTCAACAATTTTTCATGCGTTGCAACCAAACGTTGAAGACTTTAAAATGAGTACGTCTGATAATCGCACGGATTTTGTCCATTTTATACGCTTCAGATGTTGATTCTGAGAGCCTCAAACAGCGGCGAGGTACGACTTCAACGTCCTACAAACATATTAAAGTTTCATCCGTTGTACGTCTATAATTAGCTTTATCCCGCGAAGTGTGACTGAGCCTTAAAAATTTGATTCTTGTTTGTAACATTGAAATATTGTTTCAAATTTTAAGCATTTGGATTTAATCGATAATAACTTAACTCTTGAATTCTTTGTACTATATGAATTATACATCAATACATTTCAATAAATCTGAAATTTATTCCCAATATCAATACAAGTGCATAATTCATTAATTATTTTTTTTTTTTTTACATTTTGTTTATGCCTAGTTTTTGAGGTAAAGAAAAATATATCTGAAGACAAACAATTGTTTTAGCTATAGGACAAACAAATATCATAACAATTTTCTTTAAAACATACCTTTTGTGGCTGTTTGACACACGTTCAAGAGAACTAAGAGAGGCTAACTTAATCTAAATCCAAATGACTTATAAACTGCGTATTTTAACCTTTTTATCTGCTTCTTTTATTTGCAGATCACGTGTCAAGTGTTTTTACTCTAGGCTTTATGTCTTCGTACTACGCAGTTTTTTCCCTCCATCAATGAATATTTTGTTACGAAAGCCTATTAGGATCAAACTACGGTAAAAAAAAATTTCAAAGGCGTTATAACGCCTTTTCAAAAGGCGTTATAACGCGAAAAAAGGCGTAATTACGCCTTTTCAAAAGGCGTTATAACGCGGAAAAAGGCGTAATAACGCAAATAAAGGCGTAATAACGCCTTCTCAAAGGCGTTATAACGCAAAAAAAGGCGTTATTACGCCTTTCCAGAAGGCGTTATTACGCCTTTCCAAAAGGCGTTATTACGCCTTTCCGAAAGGCGTTATTACGCCTTTCCAAAAAGCGTTATTACGCCTTTTAAAAAGGCGTTATTAAGCCTTTCTAATAGGCATTAATACGCCTTTCAAAAAGGCGTTATTATGCCTTTTGAAGGGCCATTATTATGTCTTTGACAGGCCCGTGCTTTTAAAGTGGGGGGGGGGGGGTCCCATAAAATTGACAAGCAAACAAACAAAAAAAAAAAACAAAACAAAACAAAACAAAACAAAAAAAACAAAGCAAAACAAAAAAAAACAAACAAAAAAAAAAAAAAAAACAAAAAAAAAAAAAAAACAAAACAAAAAAAAAAAAAAAAAAAAAAAAAAAAAAAACAAGAAACACCCCCCCCCCCCCCAATAAAAATAAACTGCCTAAACTTGAGGGGGAACTTTCTAATTTTTCGATAAAACTTTTTTTTAAATGCAATGACTTGCCCGAGTTTAACCATACTGCAACAACATGTTAAGGGACCATGCAATCAATGAATGATTTTTTATATTTAAACTATAGCAAGACTATTCTCCCAAAATGTGGGGTGGGGAGCCCCCCCCCCCCCTCACATTCGTACTACCGGCCTGTTTGAAAAGAAGTTATATCCAAAAATGGAAAGGCGTTATTTTAAAATAGTAAATATATGAAAGATTGAACCAAAGCCATCTTTATTTATGCAATATTTAGATTATAGTTTTAATATTATAAATTATATTATAAATAATAGTATTTTCTATATTCCTGCACATCTCGCAGACAGTTGTTTACATTTTGCATGCATATTAAGAGAAGTCAACACTCTACTTTTGAAAATTCAGGGTATAAGCAGAACTAGCTTTGGGCTTTGTTAGCCAGGTATTAAAAATTCATGTCAAATTTGAAATATTTTTCTCCCCTCTTGGTAAAAAAACAGGCAAAGTATTTGCATAGGTATAATGAGCAATTAGCCTTCAACCAAATTTCTGAAATCCATGCACCTTGGTAGAGGCTTCTGGCATCAGAGAAGGACTAAGTTGGTTTAACACTGCAAATATTTTACACATTTAAGGGGGTCGACTGGGGTTTTCATTGCGCAATACTTCGCGCAGCATAGTAAAATAAAGCGTATTTACTCTTTTAAAGCAACTGTTTTTACAAAATTTATAAAAATTAACAAATTTCGGAAATCTCAGCTTAAAAAATTTAATTATGTTTTTAAATAACTGATTTTTTAAACGATTTTTCAAATGAATGGTAGATAGACGTCGTAATAGTGTGTTTTTGACGTTATGAATAACCGAAGTTCTTTCAGCGGGGTCATTAATTATGCCATAAAATAAAAAGTATAAAATACATGCTCTTGAAATTTTAAACATAGGAAATTGAGAATCTAACAATCATTTTTGTAATTTTTTATGTAAATCTGTGGTATCTGTCATGTTTTGTTGTACTCCATAAAAACAGGAAAATATCATGAATTTTGACATTTTGAGATGCCCCCTCTGAAAACTAGACGGTAGAATTTTGTGTTTCTTGCACAAAATGTACAATATAGTATTACCCATCAAATAATATAATTTGAGCAAAAAGTCTATAGTAGCATTTGTATAATTTGCTCCGAAGTGCGAAAAAATGGTATTTTCCTATATAATCCTATAGTAAATGTGCCTGTATTTTGAGATGGTCCCTCGAAAATAACCAGGCGGTAGATTTTCACTAAACTTGGCATGTATACTAAAGTCAATGTAAGGTACATATGCTATAAAATTAAAGAGTTTCTCTATAGTAGTTTTCACACAATGAAACCCCAGTCGGCTCCCTTAAAAATCTTTTTTCCTGGAAATCTAATTATAATCAGCCCCCAGGGTGGGCGAAGTAAGTTATGTATTGTAAAAAAGGCGTAATAACGCCTTTTGGAAAGGCGTAATATCGCCTTTTTAAAAGGTGTAATAACGCCTTTTGGAAAGGCGTAATAACGCCTTTTTTCGCGTTATAACGCCTTTTGGAAAGGCGTTATTACGCCTTCATTTGCGTTATTACGCCTTTTTCCGCGTTATAACGCCTTTTCAAAAGGCGTTATTACGCCTTTTTTCGCGTTATAACTCCTTTTGAAAAGGCGTTAATACGCCTTTAAAATTTTTTTTTACCGTAGTTTGATCCTAATAGGCTTTCGTATTTTATAGATTTTTGTAGTGAATATATCACACTTTTGGCTGAAGTAATAATGTGTGACTGCACAGGAGAGGACCGAAATCGAAGTGCGCTTTCTTTCATTATTGGGAGAAAGGCTATTAATTATTCATATAAAAAGCATTGCTGTTGGAATTTATGTGCATCGAGATATTTTTTCTAGGGGGGAGGGGGGGGGGCACCCCAGTCAAAAATATATCAAACCCAGAAATTTCTTCACAAGCAAAAAAGTCCCCTTTCCCAAACCTGAAGAAGAAAAACTATTTCGTGTGTGTGTGTGTGGGGGGGGGGGGGGGTCACTTCATTTTTTTAAGCTTCATTTATCCTACCAATTTAACAGGGGTCCGCATTTTCTAAAGGGGGGTCAAAGGTCACTTCATTTCTTAAGCTTCATATGTGTACTATAACTCTTCCTACCAATTTAATAGGGGTCCGCATTTTCTAAACGGGGGGGGGGGGTTCAAAGGTCACTTCATTTCTTAAGCTTCTAACTTTTCCTACCAATTTAACAGGGGTCCGCATTTTCTACATGGGGGTTAAGGTCATTTAGATTTGCTTCAGTATATACATATATTAACTCTGCAAATTCCAATGGGGGGGAAGGAGACTGGATCCCCCCCCCCCCCTTCAAGATCCGCGCATGCGGTCAATGTTCAAACTATTACCCTTTCTTTTTCTCAATCTAGAATTTTGTTCATTCAAAAATTTGTTTTTACTTGTTGTACATGTATATGTACATCTATATACATGACAGCTGTTGTCTGTTTTGCGTAACTACCTGAGCTATCACAATTCTTTTTACGGGGGGGGGGGGGGTCTTTGTGATTTTTAACGAATAACTTCGATGAATCTGGCATGGCTATAATTATGTTTCGATTCCTAGCGGACATAATGTCATTATTATATTATATATATTACGTTAATCATAATATTGAGAACAGGTTATTTTTGATCATCAATAAAATCTCTACAGACCACCCTTCTATGTAGAGTTTAATACCAATACTGACCACTGGTACTAGTCATGAGTTTATTACATAGTAGCACAATATGAGAACGGGAGCATATATAAAATCTACTGGCTTGCGACAATCCCAAGATGCTTAAATGTGAGCAAACTTAAACAGTGAATATCCTATGAGGTTAATCTCATGATGCACTTTGTGCTAAACATTGCATGACTTTTTGTACCTTATTTTTATCTTTACACACATGATATAGCGTGTAAATTACCTGGGATAACCCCATCTAAATACTCCGCTGATAACAGGTCACCGCACTTGACCAGTCTGTTGGCTTTATCAGGATATAAAATCTCTAATGAAAATGAAATAAATAAATTTTTGCTTTCTTTCTTTTATTTTTAAATCGATGAATTTAAATAACTTATTTAAACTATTTGGAATGTTTGTATCCGTAAAAAAATGCTTCTACCTATTATTTGCAATGTGAATTGAATTTTGAGGTCATTTTTGGTTCATAAAATAAAAATGATCCATCAATTGCTAATATCTTTATTTTATATATCTTTACAAAGGCTTAAGAAGACAATATATGCTTATAATTTATAAATATTTTAAGCTCTTCTGGTGAATGTGTTTTAAATTGAATGTTTTTTGTTAGCAATACAAATTTTACTTTTATCTACTTAATTAAATTTTAAAGATGAATGAGGCATCACGATTAATCATTCCTACAGTGTAGCTACTTTCGACAACTCCTTTTCCTCTTTTTCCCGCACTCTTTCTTCAGACATCGCTATTTTCTTAGCATTGTTCTTTACTAATTTGAACAACACTTGTGTTTATATGTTCAATTTTTTTTTTTATCTCGAAGAGGACATTCCAATTTGTTATAATCGGGTCCAGTCCTATTGACTATGCTTTAATAGAATAAGTTTGCATCGAATTAAATTATTAAAACCAACTGCACGGAGTCTCTGAAAAGTTACAATGATTTTATAATTTTGTCAATTTAATTTGTTCTACAAATTGTATACAAGTAAATTATATAAAATGACAAGTATTTTGTAAGGTTAACGCTCGTTTAAATGTTCTAAGGAATTAAAAGGGACATACCCTCTGATAAAAGAGATAACTTTCCAAGTAAAATATCCTAATATATATATATATAACCCATAGTTTGTCTTATCAGAGGCAAGTAGTGGAGACCTCTGAATGGACTTTGGCGAGAAGCGATCGGCTTACTTTCACTTTAAACCTGCGTTATGTACGGAGGTATATGTACGATAAGAAAACATTAATAGTGGTTATAGGTATTATATGTTGCTAGGGGTGCTAATATGATTCACCATGCAATGTACAATCAACACAAGAGATGATGGAAGGCAGAATAACATAACTTAAATACCTTATTTGTGAGTGGCATTATCGCCTTTTAATCTCTTTTTCTGAAGGAATCAAATAAAAAATAACATAAACTTGGCAAGAGTTGGTCAAGGTGGATTGGGAGGGGTTGAGAATAGGATGGTTGTCATTCCTTTCCTTGAAAACGTAACATGTGCTTTGATATTGCCAATTATTG